AAGTGTTTGACACATTTGACCCCTGTGACCTTGAAAGTAGGTCAAGGTAATTTTCATTCTCAAACTTTGTTGGGCTCCATCCCAGGAAGCCATCAGCCAAATATGAAGATTCTATACCTTTTAGTTCTTCAGAAGAAGTCGTTTGAAGTTTTTGACATATTTGACCCCTGTGACCTTGAAAACAGGTCAAGGTCATTTTCGTTCTCAAACTTTGTAGGGCTCCTACCAACGAAGCTTTCAGCCAAATATCATGACTCTAGGCCTGTCCGTTCTTCAGAAGAAGTTGTTTAAAGGAAAAGTTGACGGACAAGGACGGACGGACGGACGGACGGACGGACGACGGACGCCGCGCCACGGCATAAGCTCACTTGGCACTTTGTGCCAGGTGAGCTAATAATGATGCTTTTCCTTTTGTTTTGGTGTGTCCTAGGAAATATTCACTGTTGATTAGATATTGTGACTACTACTTTCCAGGTTTTGACAAGAGACACAACAGATACAACATGTTGTGCAGAATACTTTTTTGCTATCAAAAGACCAGATTGTGGGAATTCATGATGGTTTCCCTTTTGTTGGTATGTCTCCCTCCTATCCATTGTTGTCACATTTTAGGTGACATTGAGTACTGCTTTTGTATATTCAGTGTGTGTTGGGGCTGAAGTATATATATTTTGTCCTTGATGATATGGTATATGTTGTTCCTCTGTGTTGATGAATTGGTACCAGTTTTCTCTGTGTGTTAGTGTTCTGGTATGTTGGTGCTATATGTTTTGTGCCTGTGCGTTGGTGCTGTATGTTTTGTGCCTGTGTGTTGGTGCTGTAGGTTATGTCCCTGTGTGTTGGTGCTGTATGTTTTGTGCCTGTGTGTTGGTGCTGTATGTTTTGTGCCTGTGTGTTGGTGCTGTATGTTTTGTTCCTGTGTGTTGGTGCTGTATGTTTTGTCCGTGTGTTGGTGCTGTATTTTTTGTGCCTGTGTGTTGGTGCCTTATGTTTTGTCCCTGTGTGTTGGTGCTGTATGTTTTGTGCCTGTGTGTTGGTGCCGTATGTTTTGTGCCTATGTGTTGGTGCTGTATGTTATGTCCCTGTGTGTTGGTGCTGTATGTTCTGTGCCTATGTGTTGGTGCTGTATGTTTTGTCCGTGTGTTGGTGCTGTATGTTATGTCCCTGTGTGTTGGTGCCATATGTTTTGTCCCTGTGTGTTGGTGCTGTATGTTTTGTCCCTGTGTGTTGGTGCTGTATATTTTGTCCCTGTGTGTTGGTGCTGTTTGTTATGTCCCTGTGTGTTGGTGCTGTATGTTATGTCCCTATGTGTTGGTGCTGTATGTTATTTCCCTGTGTGTTGGTGCCGTATGTTATGTCCCTGTGTGTTGGTGCTGTATATTATGTCCCTGTGTTTTGGTGCTGTATGTTATGTACCTGTGTGTTGGTGCTGTATGTTATGTCCCTGTGTGTTGGTGCTGTATGTTTTGTCCCTGTGTGTTGGTGCTGTATGTTTTGTGCCTGTGTTTTGGTGCTGTATGTCCCTGTGTGTTGGTGCTGTATGTTTTGTGCCTATGTGTTGGTGCTGTATGTTTTGTGCCTATGTGTTGGTGCTGTATGTTATTTCCCTGTGTGTTGGTGCCGTATGTTATGTCCCTGTGTGTTGGTGCTGTATGTTATGTCCTTGTGTGTTGGTGCTGTATGTTATGTCCCTGTGTGTTTGTGCTGTATGTTATGTCCCTGTGTGTTGGTGCTATATGTTTTGTGCCTGTGTGTTGGTGCTGTATGTTATGTGCCTGTGTGTTGGTGCTGTATGTTTTGTGCCTGTGTGTTGGTGCTGTGTTTTGTTCCTGTGTGTTGGTGCCGTATGTTTTGTGCCTGTGTATTGGTGCCGTATGTTTTGTGCCTTTGTGTTGGTGCTGTATGTTTTGTGCCTATGTGTTGGTGCTGTATGGTTTGTTCCTGTGTGTTGGTGCTGTATGTTTTGTCCCTGTGTTGGTGCCTTATGTTTTGTGCCTGTGTGTTGGTGCCTTATGTTTTGTGCCTGTGTGTTGGTGCTGTATGTTTTGTGCCTGTATGATGGTGCTGTATGTTTTATGCCTGTGTGTTGGTGCTTTATGTTTTGTGCCTGTGTGTTGGTGCTGTATGGTTTGTGCCTGTGTGTTGGTGCTGTATGGTTTGTGCCTGTGTGTTGGTGCTGTATGTTATGTCCCTATGTGTTGGTGCTGTATGTTATTTCCCTGTGTGTTGGTGCCGTATGTTATGTCCCTGTGTGTTGGTGCTGTAGGTTATGTCCCTGTGTGTTGGTGCTGTATGTTCTGTGCCTGTGTGTTGGTGCTGTATGTTTTATGCCTGTGTGTTGATGCTGTATGTTTTGTGCCTGTGTGTTGGTGGTGTATGTTTTGTGCCTGTGTGTTGGTGCTTTATGTTTTGTGCCTGTGTGTTGGTGCTGTATGTTGTGTCCCTGTGTTGGTGCCGTATGTTTTGTGCCTGTGTGTTTGTTGTGTGTTTTGTTCCTGTGTGTTGGTGCCGTATGTTTTGTGCCTGTGTGTTGGTGCCTTATGCTTTGTGCCTGTGTGTTGGTGCTGTATGTTATGTCCCTGTGTGTTAGTGCTGTATGTTTTGTGCCTGTTTATTGGTGCTGTATGTTTTGTGCCTGTGTGTTGGTGGTGTATGTTTTGTGCCTGTGTGTTGGTGCTTTATGTTTTGTGCCTGTGTGTTGGTGCTGTATGGTTTGTGCCTGTGTGTTGGTGCTGTATGTTGTGTCCCTGTGTTGGTGCCGTATGTTTTGTGCCTGTGTGTTTGTTGTGTGTTTTGTTCCTGTGTGTTGGTGCCGTATGTTTTGTGCCTGTGTATTGGTGCCGTATGTTTTGTGCCTTTGTGTTGGTGCTGTATGTTTTGTGCCTATGTGTTGGTGCTGTATGTTCTGTCCCTGTGTGTTGGTGCTGTATGTTCTGTGCCTGTGTGTTGGTGCTGTATGTTTTGTGCCTGTGTGTTGGTGCTGTATGTTTTGTTCCTGTGTGTTGGTGCTGTATGTTTTGTCCGTGTGTTGGTGCTGTATTTTTTGTGCCTGTGTGTTGGTGCCTTATGTTTTGTCCCTGTGTGTTGGTGCTGTATGTTTTGTCCGTGTGTTGTTGCTGTATGTTATGTCCCTGTGTGTTGGTGCCATATGTTTTGTCCCTGTGTGTTGGTGCTGTATGTTATGTCCCTGTGTGTTGGTGCTGTATGTTCTGTGCCTATGTGTTGGTGCTGTATGTTTTGTCCGTGTGTTGGTGCTGTATGTTATGTCCCTGTGTGTTGGTGCCATATGTTTTGTCCCTGTGTGTTGGTGCTGTATGTTTTGTCCCTGTGTGTTGGTGCTGTATATTTTGTCCCTGTGTGTTGGTGCTGTTTGTTATGTCCCTGTGTGTTGGTGCTGTATGTTATGTCCCTATGTGTTGGTGCTGTATGTTATTTCCCTGTGTGTTGGTGCCGTATGTTATGTCCCTGTGTGTTGGTGCTGTATATTATGTCCCTGTGTGTTGGTGCTGTATGTTATGTCCCTGTGTGTTGGTGCCGTATGTTATGTTCCTGTGTGTTGGTGCTGTATATTATGTCCCTGTGTGTTGGTGCTGTATGTTTTGTCCCTGTGTGTTGGTGCCTGTGTGTTGGTGCCTGTGTGTTGGTGCTGTATGTTATGTCCCTGTGTGTTGGTGCTATATGTTTTGTGCCTGTGTGTTGGTGCTGTATGTTTTGTGCCTATGTGTTGGTGCTGTATGTTTTTTGCCTATGTGTTGGTGCTGTATATTTTGTCCCTGTGTTGGTGCTGTATATTTTGTCATTTTGTGTTGGTGTTGTGGTATATTTGTGTGTCATAGTTTTGTTATGAATTCAAATAGTGGTTTATTTATTTTCCTTGTATGCTGATAATATGGTATATGATTTCCCTCTGTGTTGATGTAATGGTATATGATTTCCCTCTGTGTTGATGATATGGTATATGATTTCCCTGTGTTGATGATATGGTATATTATTTCCCTCTGTGTTGATGTAATGGTATATGTTTTCCCTCTGTGTTGATGATATGGTATATGATTTCCCTCTGTGCTGATGATATGGTATATGATTTCCCTCTGTGTTGATGATATGGTTTATGATTTCACTCTGTGTTGATGATATGGTATATGATTTCCCTCTGTGTTGATGATATGGTATATGATTTCCCTGTGTTGATGATATGGGGTATTATTTCCCTCTGTGTTGATGTAATGGTATATGATTTCCCTCTGTGTTGATGATATGGTTTATGATTTCCCTCTGTGTTGATGATATGGTATATGATTTACCTCTGTGTTGATGTCATGGTATCAATTTTTCTCTTTGTGTGATGACACTGTGGTATATTCTGCTCTTTGTGAGTTGAGACTGAGATGTAATTTGTCCTCGTGTGTCGATGCTGTAGTACTTGCTATTGAGTGGTGATGCTGTGATATAATCCAAACACCTTTGTTTCCTACAAAAGCGGTAGTGCTGCAGATATTACTTTGGTACAATATTGTACAGAAATGGGTCAAACTGTCCCCCACGATACTAAGATAGTGGGTCATTTGGATGAGTGATTGTTGGATAGTGGGCAATATGGATAAGTGGTGGTTGGCGAATAGTGGGACATTTTAATTGGTAGTGGTTGGATTAGTGGTGGTGGATAGTGGGATATTTTAATTGGTAGTGGTTGGATTAGTGGTGGCAAATAGTGGGACATTTTAATTGGTAGTGGTTGGATTAGTGGTGGTGGATAGTGGGACATTTTAATTGGTAGTGGTTGGATGAGTGGTGGGTAGATTAACAAAGCTGAATTGTAGAGTTTTCTTCCTTCACTGGTTACACCCATATTTCATGGTATTAATTTGCCGTTCATAGTTGAAATACTATGTATATAAGCTGTGTGCTAATATGGAGTAAAAGAGAAACACACATTTCAGAGATTTTACCAATGTAAAGTGTAAATATCAGAACTGATTAAAATGAAATCAAACACTGTGACCTTTATAAAAACAGTCTTTATATTAAAAAGTAAAATCAATAAGGCCTCGACTTTTTATGTGATCCAGACTTCATCTTCGACTTGATCTGAAACAAATAAGGAAAAAAGATTTCTCAATGTTCATATCATTGACAAAAGACGGACAAAACTATGTTAGAATATAACATTCCAACTATTAATTTATCTACAACCCATTTAACCTTTATTATGACCATGCTCAGTAATAAGCCCATCATCTTGTTAACTCATTCACTTCCAAGACGCATTTCAACTCTTCCAATTCAAAGGTTTGAATAATTCATTATGCAATTTCAAGAGTGAATTAGTTAAATATTGACTGTAAAATGGGAAATCATAGTCTGTTTTACTTTAAATGAGAGTACAGATAAGTAAGTGTACATCGGTAATTTCAACACTGGGCATAACGACAGAAGGTGAACATTTGGTGTGATAAAAATAATACAGTTCACATTACATGTACGGTTAGTTTATCCATAAGGGCTGCATTTACAAAATAGCCCTTTCAATGTGTCAAGTTTATCTCACAAATAAGGCCATCTTCCTGTCTTCTAGTTTTAAAACTCGACAGACTGGGATAATATTGAGTCCAATATGGTAGTAGACAGGAACAACCTAATGGTAACCTGGGATTTACACTGGGTAAGTATGGCTATAGAACAGGTAGGATATAACTGTTTTAGATTGGCGCAAACAAATATTCACTGTTCCAGACCCTCTAATATGATGGAGGATACTCAGTCAACAAAGCTTTCTGATTGGTGGTGATCGACCAAGTGTGAACCCACTGACAAGGAACCTACCTTTCCATGAGAGGGTGTGGTCCGACTTTCTGCGACACTGACTGTCCCGTGGGGTGTGTGGAGTTGTCCGTCCTTTGACCAGAGACACAGAAACGAGTCTTCCCCTCCAGTCACAAGACTACTGGTCTGTTAATACAAACATTGTTTTTTCCTTCTATCAAAACTTCAAAGTTATTTAATGAAAAGTATGAAATAGGTACAGTAAGACCTTGTTATACTGCCATCATTTGTCCAAAGCAAATTGGCATTATAAAGGGGTTTAGGGATAAATTGAGGGGGAAAATGCAAAGGAATCCTTAAGAAAATGTGAAAAGGGAACCTTGAAATATGTTGGTGGCATGTGAGGTGGAAAATAAAGTTGATGGGTATTATATCAAGGTGTTACTGTACTATCATAAAGTTGGGTATTATATCAAGGTTTTACTGTACAATCATAAAGTTGGGTATTATATCAAGGTGTTACTGTACTATCATAAAGTTGAGGGGTATTATATCAAGGTGTTACTGTACTATCATAAAGTTGAGTATTATATCAAGGTTTTACTGTACAATCATAAAGTTGAGTATTATATCAAGGTGTTACTGTACAATCATAAAGTTGAGGGGTATTATATCAAGGTGTTACTGTACTATCATAAAGGTGAGGGGTATTATATCAAGGTGTTACTGTACTATCATAAAGGTGAGGGGTATTATATCAAGGTGTTACTGTACTATCATAAAGTTGAGGGGTATTATATCAAGGTTTTACTGTACAATCATAAAGTTGAGGGATATTATATCAAGGTGTTACTGTACTATCATAAAGTTGAGGGGTATTATATCAAGGTGTTACTGTACTATCATAAAGTTGAGGGGTATTTTATCAAGGTTTTACTGTACAATCATAAAGTTGATGGGTATTATATCAAGGTTTTACTGTACAATCATAAAGTTGAGGGGTATTTTATCAAGGTGTTACTGTACAATCATAAAGTTGAGGGGTATTATATCAAGGTGTTACTGTACTATCATTAAGTTGATGGGTATTATATCAAGATGTTACTGTACTATCATAAAGTTGAGGGGTATTATATCAAGGTTTTACTGTACAATCATAAAGTTGAGGGGTATTATATCAAGGTGTTTCTGTACAATCATAAAGTTGAGGGGAATTATATCAAGGTGTTACTGTACTATCATAAAGTTGAGGGGAATTATATCAAGGTGTTACTGCACTATCATAAAGTTGAGGGGTATTATATCAAGGTTTTACTGTACAATCATAAAGTTGATGGGTATTATATCAAGGTTTTACTGTACAATCATAAAGTTGAGGGGTATTATATCAAGGTGTTACTGCACTATCATAAAGATGAGGGGTATTATATCAAGGTGTTACTGTACAATCATAAAGTTGAGGGGTATTATATCAAGGTGTTTCTGTACAATCATAAAGTTGAGGGGTATTATATCAAGGTTTTACTGTACTATCATAAAGTTGAGGGGTTTTATATCAAGATGTTACTGTACTATCATTAAGTTTATTCAATGTTTTTTTCCCTCTTAATTGTCAGATATCTGACTGGTGGAGAGTGGTCATGAACAGAAGTTCAAATCATACAATAAAAGATTTTTTTTTTCCTTTTTTTTTTCATCTATTATACAACATTTAGATTGTAATTGCATTTCACCAAACTTATGTTGATTAACTTAAAACTCAATTTTCCTGGATACTTACAACAACCATTTGAAATTCGACCCCTTACCTTTATCTTGACCATTGAGTGATAAAAACATAGAAACTATGAAAATAATCAATGTTTTAAAAAACAACATTTAACTCCATACTATGCACAATGTAGAGTACATGTTAAATTTTTTCTTTGATATGAAGGATATCCCTGAAATATTCACTTACCTTGCTGTCCCAGTATGTGACCCGGACAGTAGAGTTATGTCCCTTTGACAACGTTGTCACCACAGACGGTGCATCACCTGATACATCCACGAGCCTGATATCACCACTGTAAGTAACAATCACAATATCATAGTTAAAATGACTGATATTCTGTTCTGAATTATCAGTTAATAAATTGTACATTTAAAGCACAAAGATTAATACGAGTGTTATAAATATTCAATTAACTAAAGACTTGTTTTGATTTATTAGCATTCATTTTTATGTCTCATGAAATAAAATTTTCAAAATGATTTTTGTTCTTGTCTAATATGAGTAAAATCATGTTATGAATGAGGTAGTGATTAGATTTATTCTACGGGCATCTATGTTTGAGTTTCAGTTTTGATAATTATATCACTGATACAAAGGTTCACCTGATGAAACTAGAAACATGCGAGTCCCTGCCCGGTTAGAATGAGGACAGTCACCAACATCTCACCTGTGTGTGCCTGTCGTTAGCAAGAGTCTGTTATTGACATCAAAACAATCCACGAGGTAGTCTATGGAGTCATCTCCCTAGACAAAAAAACCAGACTTGTATAATCAAATATTTATCATCTGCCAGCAACTTCACAAAATTTTCCAGGTTTTCAAAATAAGTTATGCTTGAACAGAAACCAAAATACATGCTAATATCTCAATTACTTTTTCAAGGTCAAAATATAGCTGTACAGTGAATGCTTTAGTTGATTACTATACAGTAAAACCTCCATATAATGCCTCCTTGATTATCATGAAACAGTAAAACCCCAATATAATGCCCCCTTGATTATCATGATACAGTAAAAACCCAATATAATGCCCCCTTGATTATCATGATACAGTAAAACCTCCATATAATGCCTCCTTGATTTTCATGATACAGTAAAACCCCAATATAATGCCACATTGATTATCACTGTACAGTAAAACCTCCATATAATGCCCCCTTGATTATCATTATACAGTAAAACCCCATTATAATGCCACATAATCACTGTACAATGAAACCTCCACATAAAGCCCCTTGTTTACCACTGGACAGTGAAAACTCCATATAATGCCCCTTGTTTATCACTGTACCATAAAACCCTAGTATAATGCTCCTTGTTTACCACTGTACAGTAAAACCTCAGTATAATGCCTCTTGTTTACAACTGTACAGTAAAACCCCAATATAATGCCCCCTTGTTTACCACTGTACAGTAAAACCCCAATATAATGCCCCTTTGTTTAGCATGATACAGTAAAACCCCAATATAATGCCCCTTGTTTACTACTATACAGTAAAACCCCAATATAATGCCCCTTGTTTACCACTGTACAGTAAAACCTCAAGATGAGGCACATTGTTTACTGCTCCAATATAATGCCCCCTTGTTTACTACTGTTCAGTAAAACCCCAATAAAATGCCCCCTTGTTTACTACTGTACAGTAAAACCCCAATATAATGCCCCCTTGTTTACCACTGTACAGTAAAACCTCAAGATGAGGCACCTTGTTTATTACTGTACAGTAAAACCTCAAGATAATGCCTCAGGATTACCACTATACAGTTAAACCCTAATACAATGCCCCTTGTTTACTACTGTACAGTAAAACCCCAATATAATGCCCCCGTGTTTCCTACTGTACAGCAAACCCCCAATACAATGCCCCTTGTTTCCTACTATACAGTAAAACCCCAATATAATGCCCCCTCGTTTACTACTGTACAGTAAAACTCCAATATAATGCCCCCTTGTTTACCACTGTACAGTAAAACCTCAAGATAATGCCTCTGGATTACCACTATACAGTAAAACCCCAATATAATGCCCCTTGTTACTACTATACAGTAAAACCCCAATATAATGCCCCTTGTTTACTACTGGACAGTGAAACCTCAATATCAGGCCCATTGTTTACCACTTTACAGTAAAACCCCAATATAATGCTCCTTGTTTACTACTATACAGTAAAACCCCAATATAATGCCCCTTGTTTGCTACTATACAGTAAAACCCCAATATAATGCCCCCTGTTTACTACTATACAGTAAAACCCCAATATAATGCCCCTTGTTTGCTACTATACAGTAAAACCCCAATATAATGCCCCCTGTTTACTACTATACAGTAAAACCCCAATATAATGCCCCCTGTTTACTACTATACAGTAAAACCCCAATATAATGCCCCTTGTCTACTACTATACAGTAAAACCCCAATATAATGCCCCCTGTTTACTACTATACAGTAAAACCCCAATATAATGCCCCCTGTTTACTACTATACAGTAAAACCCCAATATAATGCCCCCTGTTTACTACTATACAGTAAAACCCCAATATAATGCCCCTTGTCTACTACTATACAGTAAAACCCCAATATAATGCCCCTTGTCTACTACTATACAGTAAAACCCCAATATAATGCCCCCTGTTTACTACTATACAGTAAAACCCCAATATAATGCCCCCTTGTTTGCTACTGTACAGTAAAACCTCAATATAAGGCCCATTGTTTACCACTTTACAGTAAAACCCCAATACAATGCCCCTTGTTTACTACTATACAGTAAAACCCCAATACAATGCCCCTTGTTTACTAATATACAGTAAAACCCCAATATAATGCCCCTTGTTTGCTACTATACAGTAAAACCCCAATATAATGCCCCCTGTTTACTACTATACAGTAAAACCCCAATATAATGCCCCTTGTTTGCTACTATACAGTAAAACCCCAATATAATGCCCCTTGTTTGCTACTATACAGTAAAACCCCAATATAATGCCCCTTGTCTACTACTATACAGTAAAACCCCAATATAATGCCCCTTGTTTGCTACTATACAGTAAAACCCCAATATAATGCCCCCTGTTTACTACTATACAGTAAAACCCCAATATAATGCCCCTTGTTTACTGCTATACAGTAAAACCCCAATATAATGCCCCTTGTTTACTGCTATACAGTAAAACCCCAATATAATGCCCCTTGTCTACTACTATACAGTAAAACCCCAATATAATGCCCCCTGTTTACTACTATACAGTAAAACCCCAATATAATGCCCCTTGTCTACTACTATACAGTAAAACCCCAATATAATGCCCCCTTGTTTGCTACTGTACAGTAAAACCCCAATATAATGCCCCCTTGTTTGCTACTGTACAGTAAAACCTCAATATAAGGCCCATTGATTATCACTTTACAGTAAAACCCCAATATAATGCCCCCTGTTTACTACTATACAGTAAAACCCCAATATAATGCCCCTTGTTTACTACTGTACAGTAAAACCCCAATAAAATGCCCCCTTGTTTACTACTGTACAGTAAAACTCCAATATAATGCCCCCTTGTTTACTACTGTACAGTAAAACCTCAATATAAGGCCCATTGATTACCACTTTACAGTAAAACCCCAATATAATGCCCCCTTGTTTACCAAATTATTGTAAAACCTTGTTATAATGCCATCTCACTTATTTCAAATATTCTTTAAGGTCCAGCTTTTGTTTTTATGTTTTCCTTTATGATACGCTGTCAAACTTCTTTATAAGGACGTTATTATGATGTTGAGATCTTTCTGTTTACTGGTTATTTGTAGCAGAATACATCAATACATTTTTCACCAGTGCATTGATTTAATCATTATACCCAAGAATAAATCCCCATTATACATAACAGTCAAACATTGTTATACAAAACAGTTGAAAACTGGAACCACAACCAGAAGAAATGAATTTAAAACCCAAACCACTCTGTGTTCAACTGTCACTTTGAAGTCGATACAGTTGACCTCTGTCCTTTATGCACTTATGGTGTCTAGTGCGCCTCCTACTAACAGTTAAAGTCAAAGACAACTCTGACAAAGCCACAAGAATTCTGTTGCTGCTAGGAAGAACATTGGAACCTTCTCCCTTGTGATGGAGAAACGATATTATCCTTCAAGGCGGATAGCTGTTTTATTTCGTAGGGATGGTTCACTCTCCCCACCCTGTCTGCAGAGTGTTCAAGGTCATTGATAGGTAGTGTTGGGACTCAGGGGTTATGTCTGTGGAGTGTTCAAGGTCATTTATGGGTAGTGTTGGGACTCTGGGGTCATGATTTTTTGCCTTTTCTTTACTAGTGTAAGATCATATTGCTACAGAAATCTTCATGAATAATTGATTATTTGGATGCTGATTTCATGTCTTGTTTATGTATTCCTCCAGTGGCACAACAACGTGTACTGACTACCTTATAACTTTGAGGTTCACATAACTGTGCTGTGATAACATACATAATCTTCTCGATTTTAAATCAACAGACACATAATTTTATCGATTTTAAATTAAGAGACATATTATCTGATCGATTTTAAATCCACAGACACATAATCTTATCAATTTTAAATCAACAGACATATTATCTGATCGATTTTAAATCAAGAACTTATTGAAATCTATCATGTCATCCATATTAGTGACCCTGGTTTTGATATTGTCTAATGACAGATTCTATTATGTCTTCCAGTGACATTTACCAAAAATTCAATGACTTGCTAACCGTTCATTTCTGAATACCTCAGCACAAGGACATGTACATTCAGACTTCAGAACAACACCAAATGACTAATATTATTTGAGGAGATACCGTATAGTTGTTTTCCTGATATTCGTACTCACTGAAAAAAGTGCAAAAAAAAATACCCAGAAAATATTATTACCAGGAATCATGACCTCCATGTGTAAAAGATGTGCATTGATTACGTTGCCTCACAAGCGTCAGCTGTAGGGAATTTCCCTTTAGCTCAGCGGTAGAGCATCAGGCTGGAGAGTCAAGGGTCGTGGGTTCAACCCCAGCGATGGTATTATTTTTATCACTATTCCTCATCTTACTACACATGAATATATGTTTACAGAAAAAAAATGGTTTACCCATTCACTGCCAAATAAGGAAGATAAAGCAACAATAACACACGCTAGTATATTTTCACAAAACACTTGTACATGTAATATAAATCCTATCACCCAGATACAAAAGTACCTTAGCTATAAACAGGACTTTAAACCCTTCTAAAACCAAACCAAACTACCGCTCGTGAGAGTGATATTTTTACCTGGTCACGTTTTGTTTTACTAGTTATGATCAGGATATCTATGAAATATTAGCCCCTCAAAATCCAACAACTATACAGTATAGCCAAACCTTTGTTTTCAGTCCTCTGTCATACTACACGAAAAATCTCAGTAGAAATATGACTATAAGCATCAATGAAATGAGAATTCTTTTGTTACAAGGACTAAACTATTAACACTAAGGTGGTACGTGATATTATCTATGAGAAATAACGACAAAGTGTCTTTATACTGATTACAAAATACCGAAATATTCTATTAATAACAGAGACCTGGTCACAAACAACATTTGTGATTCCTTAAAATAGTTTTATTGTACACGCCCACTGCTATTTGTGAATTTCAATAAAACATCATAGTGTCTTCTATAGCTACTTAACTTCCTATTTGAGTTGGAGCGGTGTCAGGCACTAATCAGATTGGTGTT